GGGGTGGGGGGTTCGGCCGCGGGCGCAGGCCAGGACCGCGGGCGGCGCGCGGAGGGAGCGGGCTCCGCGCTCTCGCGTTCTGCAATCTGTTGCGTCTGCTCCCCAGGCTCGCCCCAGGCTCCGCGGTAAAGAGGATGGGAAAGGGAGGGGCCGGTGTTGGCGGGCTTTGGCAGTGGGACAACGGGGATACGGGTGGCGGACAGAGGGTCTCGGAACAGCCCCCCAGAGTGGGAACTCAGACCAGACGGGAGGAGGCTGCAGCGGACCTTGCGCAAGCGGGAGACGCTCCAGGAGGAGAGGGACGCTGACCGAGGGGGTAGGGAGAGAGCTATGGGGAGGAGAATGGAGTAGAGCGGCCCTCTGCCCCCTCCCAAAAATGAATCCAGCAGACCTGGGACACATTTCTCCAACAGCAAAAGCGGTGGGAGGGGGACGGTTTCCGATGCCCCAGGCTGAGCGGTGAGCCTCGGGCAGGATGGAGAGGTGCTCAGATGGAGGGGGCAGTGGACTCTCCGCGTTGGTGGAGCACCCTCGATGTGCTGTGCTCAGCTTTTGCCCAGATCTGCCCAATCCCTAGGAGCTTGCCCAAGCCCGCCACGAGCGTGCCCAAGGTCTCTAACCAGCGACCTCTCTCACCCTGACCAAGGCGCATTGTCAAGGTGGGAAGAATAAGAAAAGAAACGGGTTGTTTAGGGTCCTGGAGTGGGGAGGGGAGCAGGCTGACCTCCTTCTGTGGGTAGATTGATTATTCCCGGCCGGTGATGACTTCAGGGGGGGCTGTTTTGCTTTTAGTTCGCCAGAGACAGCTAACCTCAGTTCTTTATGGGAGGAACAGATAGGGCAGCGCGCCAGTGGTGTGTGTGTGTGTGAGCATGTGCGCGTGTGCGCGTGTAAAGGGGAACTGGGAATGCAGCGGGAAACGGAGATATCTAGGCTCCGTGTGCAAGACTGAGAATGGGGAGGGAGTGGGGAGAGGGGCTCGCCTGCCTGCGCACTGGAGCGGCATGGGCTGCGCTTGGACCTGGACCTGGACCTGACTCCGGTGAGCAGGGAGTTTGAGTACCCAGTAGGAGGAAGCCCAGAAGCTCAGGCTAGGCGTGGTTCTTCCCTCTCTTGCATCTTGCTATCAGAGTTCCCTTCCCAAAGCCTCTGGGGAGCTCACATGCTGTCATTAGGTCTCTACTGCCCACCTTCCTGACCCCTCAGCCTGGCCTTTATGATCCTTTCCTCTTCCTCACCTGCCAGAATCCTGCCTGCTTCCTAAGACTCAGTTCCAGGCAGGCCTTAGTGTCCTGGCTGCACTTTCCTGGGAGTCTTAGCATTCAGTCTCCTATTCTCCTTAAGAGCCAGTGCCTCGGTTGTCCTGGAGCTGTGGAGGCAGTACCCTGGGTTTATTCTTGTCTCTCCACACAGCCAGGACTTAGCGCAGGACCAGCACACACAGGGCTCAGGGATTGGCTTCATGATCAGAAAGAAGGCATTTGAGGAGGTGGAGCTGGGGTTCCCTACTGAGCAGGCATTCCTCCTCCTATCTGGCTCCCTTTCCAAGCTCCTTCCCTGAGTCCTGAAGTCCTTCCCCATCCTGCGCTTCCCTGCGCTTCAGTCTCCCTTTCCTCAGGGAAAGGCACTAGCAGATACTTAAAGCTTGGAGATCTCCTAGATAGATAAGGCCTGATAACAGAAATCCCCCCCCCCTGGGGGGGGGGGGGGG